TTAGGTTTAGGTTTAAGTTTGGGATGCTCGACCAGATAGTCCTTTTTTCTAGTCCAACCTTTTTTCTCTCTTTCATTAGAAGAATTCCATCAGACTTTTCATTCGTAAGTATCCCTCAAAAAGGTGTGTTTTCTTTTTCTTTCTTTTTAATTTTCTCAAGTTGGCTAAATGATCACACGACCTAAATTAAGACACTTGACGAATTGTTTCTTCTATTTCTCGGTTTCTGGGCATTTTTTAAAAGAATTAAATAAATATGTATGTACGATTTTAAAGCGTTGCAGTTTTATTAAATCAACACTATTTTTGATAAAATTTTGCAAAGTTATTTATCTACGTGTCTGGTTTGTTCCATGTGGCCCGTCTTAGGAATTACGTGGTTAATTACGTGGTTAATCTTAAGCGGTATTTCAAATCTCAAAATTCTGTAACTTTGTCTCTGTGTTTTTTATTTCAACCAACTCTTTCTTTGGCGTCTTCTTCCATTACCGATATTATTTTCGCGTATAACCCCTCATCTAGTCAGTCTACCCGCTATTCATTCTTCCATGTGTCGTATAAAAGAATTAATTGTGTCGTTCGAGTTTATTTGAATTGTTGTTGCTTGTCTCGTGTTTATTATCTGTTGTTTTGTTTCCGTTTTTTTTTTTTTTTTGGTTATTTAATATAATAAACATCATTTAAATTACATCTCTACAGTGATGAGTATCAGTGAAAGCAATATTCAGCTACTATTCTCAAAGTTTTTCAATTTTTCAATTACATGTGCACGAGATTTGCTTCGTCGGTAACCGGTGACCAACACGACACTTGACGAAATGTTAGAGAAGTTGGAAACGATCCGTTCGCGCGAGATTCGGCGGCAACTCGTTTCTCGTTTGAAAGAGACTCGCAACTTCTGCCGCGTAGCTTTGAGCGCCAGCTCTGTTGGTCGGTCTTTAAAAAATACGTAATAATAGAATATTTTTATATTCATTGATTCGTTACTTTCTTGCAAAGGAAATCCCACGTTACGTAGTACAGTTAGTACCAGATTTGTCGGGTTTATTCGGCGAATATCGAATAAATCTGCACCTGGCTTTAGATGGAAAGAGTTGTTCGTCAATCGTAATATTTGCACCTAGTTTGTAGCAACTCTGACTATTTTGAACAAACATATCCCACACAGCTGATATCGAAGCAAATTTATCACTTTGTAAACGTTGGACTTGGTCACTTTTTCTTTTTACCAAAGCGAATAAATCTCAGTATTTCGGTAAAATCATTTCACGGTGTTGGGGAAGAAGTTTGGACCCCATTTTCTGTTACATAAATACGAAAGTTCCAAATCTCTTGTTTCTCTCCGTGCTTACAAAATTCCAAATTTTTTACTCAAAACTCGAGAAGCTTCTAATTCCGTGCAAGATATTATACGCTCGAGCACATGGTCGCCAATTGGTAAAGAAAATGCGCAACTTTCCTGATAAT